ATTCTAGTTACTGTTTGTATTTCATAAGTTTACTGCACCCTTCAGTGCCTCATTTGTCACTGTTTAAATAAGTTGCTGTCATGTCTTGTTACCCTCCCGTGTTTAACTGATTACCTCATATGTCTATAAATACCCCTAGCCTTTTGTTTAATCTTTGTATTAATATCCTCTTCATGCTTGTTTCCAGTTATTTATTTAACAAGCAACTTCCTTATAGAATTTTGCAACAACCTAAAAAAAAAAATAAAAAAAAAGGTCTGACGTGTTACTTATTCCCTGTTATTTGAGGCTCGTTGAGGCGCAATTCCAATCTATGCTTACTTGTGCTACTATCTGGACTGGAACCGAAGAAGGAAAACCTAAACTCAGACGTTCAAAACATGAAAAATTGACACTATTTTGCCATGTTTAATAGTTAAGAGTTTGATGTTTGAATGATTATGACATTTTAAATTGATCAAATATGCCAAATAAAGGGTACTCTTTCATGTAGTGAAACAAAACAAACATAGTCTCCAACCCCATAGACTACTTAATTAATCCATAATTAAAATAAATCAGACATAAAATAATACCTTCACTCTTTCCTTATACCTTATATGTCGACTTGTCAACAGTGGAGTTGCTTTGTTTAAAATAGAGTATCTTCCAACAGTCTAACGCTCCCGGGACACTAAAATGCACTTTCACAAAATCTGTAATATAGAGAAAAATGTCATGGAAAAATATGAGGTTACATTTTTTGTGCTTGAAGCACCTGATTCTGCTAACAAACTCAGACACTTTGTTCTGCTGTTTGACACACACACCTTCTTTTTCGCCGTCATCACCCGACTCCTCAGAAACATCCGTCACGATACCCATTTCGTCAGCTTGGATCATCATCGTGTCAGCAACATTAAATACAACATTAGTTCATGACACGTGACAGGTTAACGAGCTCGACAGCTTTGATAAGAATGCAGGAAAACATTTTAACATTAAGAGCGTCACCATCAAATATGATGCTTGACATCATTATGAAATGTGTGTCCCAGTAGTCTCTCAAAGTGATTTATGGCAAAGCTACCTCGTAGAGTGATGGTGACTTGAAGGCAAAGACTGCAGTTCTGTTTGTTTGAACAGCAGAGAACACTTTCGAGCTGCAACTGTGTAACATCAACTTTACTGTATGGATCAGGGAAGTCATCAGAAAACGGAGCTGTGAAAACAAGAACGTTTCTGCTTTAGACAAACAGGTTTAATTGGGATTGAGATAATAACAGTGAGAGTGGATGTGCAAGCACTGATCATGCTGCTACCTTGATCCACATGGCAGTCAGTCAAACCCTGAAGAAAGAATAAAATGTGAACGAGAGTTGAATGAATCACATCTAAAAA